GTAAACGACTTAAACATACTTGAGGTTTCAAAAAATACCCACAGGCCACAGGTTTCTTCAAAAATAAATAAAGAAATACTCATAGGTTTCTAAATCTATCTATACTATTTTAAAAAGAACAAATGGCTTTAAGAATATTTCTGGAATTTAAATTTATTGATAAAAATGAGTAGGAATGGCAACGGGGCAGGGTGGGGACGAGGAGCCTCTCCCCATCCCCGTCTCCGCAAAAATCCCCATCCTCATCCCCGTCTCCGCAAAAATCCCCATTCCCATCCCCATCCCCATCCCCACGGGGATCCCCATTCCCCATGATTCTTTATAATGCTAATCATTTTGTTTTTGTTTTTGTTTTTTTATTTTATTTTAAAAAATAAAAATAAAATAATTAACATTTACAATCATATTAGAAAATATTCAACCGTATTTTTAAAAATATTAATATATAGATGTATGGTTACATATTTACATATATAACGTTACATCACTGCCCTGTTGGCAGCAACAAGTTGCAGCTCCAGGAAATGCCAAATTTGGCATTGCTCCAAGCTATGGCTTCCCAATTTTCAAGGTATGGCTTGTAACGTCGTTTTTTATGAAAAAATGATTCCAAACAAATATCCGTTTTCTGAAACACTGTTTTTTCCGATGTGACGCTGATGTGGCACCGTTGCTCCAAAAAATAGCAATGATGCCAAACAACCCCCAAAGGTTTTGACTTTTGTTTTCATTGTTTTAGCCATGCGCTAGAGCTAGATGCCTAAAACAATGTTTCGCAAAAGTGGTTACATCTATTCACAAACAAGTGGCACATATAAAAGAAAAAAAAAAAAAACTATATTCTGAGTTGTCACATCTTGGTTATTCCAAAATTTTAATGGGTAAACGACTTAAACATACTTGAGGTTTCAAAAAATACCCACAGGCCACAGGTTTCTTCAAAAATAAATAAAGAAATACTCATAGGTTTCTAAATTTATATCTATACTATTTTAAAAAGAACAAATGGCATTAAGAATATTTCTGGAATTTAAATTTATTGATAAAA